TAAATAGTCCAATTGTTTCCTAAAATGAGATAGATTGGTAGCATCTATTTAATGGTTGATTCTGGTCTCAACAGAGCCAAATGTTTTCTACTATGGGATTAAGTAGGAACTGAAGTAAGACTAGTCTATAAGTTTCATTGCAAATTCTATATTGAGAAAAAAAAGCAAAACAGAAGAGATAAATAAATTCAGAATCCTTCTCATAGGTGAATTGTGCTAAGATTTTTTCTGGACTTAAATCCCCTGAACTGTATCATCTATTTTCTGCTCCATTAAAATTATTTCCCAGAAAGTTGCTAAAAATTTTTGTTTGGTTGTTTTTTTTCCTAGTTTATGCAGTAATTTCCTTTGGCTTAAATGCTATAGATTCCAAATTCAGAATGTTGAAAATGGATGTTACTAAAGGAATAGTGGAATTCCCCAAATGAGCAAGCACAAAGGCTTTAATTCCACATGCCACAGCGCAGTTATTAGCAACATTGAGATTTCCTGATGAAATTCATGACCTGATGAAGTAGATGTGCAAAAGTGCCTTTTGAGATTAGATCAAGACTTTTAAAAGGATATTCCACATTTATTTTGGTTGAGATACAATAACTATACTTTGCATTTCCCAAATTCACTTTATTAATATCCCATAAGGATGTAAGGGAAGTAGGGGAACTTTATTGTCTCCTTGATCACAGTCCTTATGGTCAACTTCTCTGTATATAACTGGAAGTCTTCCTTTTCTCTAAGAGAAAAATTTAAAGTTGTTAAAAATATATTAGTATATTATTTTGCACTGGATTTTTTTTTTCTGTAATACTTAGATAAAAAAAAAAAGTAGAAGGATATTCATTTGTCTGAATGTGTCAGTCTGTTGCAGATCTTTTGCTTAGCTCCTGGGTATGTTTAATCTTCCATTGACAGAGGCTTGCTTGCTTTTGCACATGATCAGAGTATGCTTATGGGAGAACACAAGACCCAGTGTGATACCTTGATGTATTTTGTCAATAATACTAAGCTGCAGTATTGATTGAAATTTAGTATTTGATTTGACTGACATTTATTTAGGGCCTAAGTATGATGCTTATTTGTCTTTTTCTTTTTTCAAATTAAATAGGCCAAACAGGTATTCTGTGGAATCTAGCAATAGTAAAACTTCTCTCCCTATCAGCTGTAGCTATTAAATTTTGCATCTCACTCTATCCTATTAGGGGAGTACTCTTAACAGCACCATATATATGCACTGAGACATCAAGTCAGGCAGGAATTCAGAGATTTTTGCTGTACAGTGCAAAAGATATTTCAAAATTACTGGGGGTTCACACACATTTTTATAATCATAGTCAAAATAATATAATTTACAGTTGCATTTTGGCTTTGTTTTGCACCTCTCTGTCTGCCTTAAATCTTTACCTGCCTTCATTTCCAAGTAATTAAAAAAGGTACCATTTCGAAGATTTCTGATTTTTTTCCTTCTTTCTAGCTTCTTGTAGGTTTTTTAGAATGTCTATCACATTGTGCATGCTTTCTTTTTTTAGTGTATCGTTCGACCTTGAGTCAGAGTGTCACATGTCATTACAGAACTGCAGAGAGAATTTGTTAGATATAAAATAAAGGTCAGACCTCTAGATATTTTGTAGCAAATTAATGTTTTAACATTGACAATGGTTGTTGGTCCAGAGACATAAGAGAAAATTTGGTGCTCTAGACAAGAAAGGTCCATTAATTTTTCACTAAAGGCTCTACTAATTTGTGTATTATGGATAAAGCAAAATATCTGGAGATTGTTTTTAATTCTCATGCACATCAGTTGTGTCTCTTAAGGAATATGAAATATATTTAAGTTGGTAATAAATACTGAAATGGAAACTAATTATTCATAGGAATAAATATTTAAACATTCAGAGAATTAAGCATAAAGAACAATTGAACACAATTATCACTAAAAAAGTATATTCTAAGGTTGGGAGGAGGCTGTATCTACCAATAAAGTATGAAAATTACATGTTAAGAGCCAGATTTTTTTTTTACTCTAATATGCTCTTCCCTTTAAAATTCTCTGAGCTAATAAAGAAGTTTTTCTATGAGGGAGCTATATGCTATGATCATGCATGATATTTTAGTCCCTTTAAATGCACAGGAAAAAAAATATGTGAAGCATTTACTGACAGTGCAAATGATTTATGTATGGCCTTTGTTTAGTTTTTTTTCTCTAAAAAGCTTTTTTGTCTTTTTTTCTCAAAAATATCCCATCTTCTAAATAAAATGTCAAAACATTCAATTTGAGTGACTGGTACTGCTGCTTTGTTCAACTGTTACTCTTTATTCATCATAGAGTTTCTGAAACATCTTACAGTCTCTTCTCACTCAATGACCATTTTCTGGGTTTTAGATATATTTCTCTATCTTAATTAAGTGTTGATTTTTGTTTGTTTCAGCTTTGCTTTTTGAACTGGGGATAATTGCCCCAGCCTAATTTATTTGGTATGTCTATAGTCATAATATTTAATGGTCCATTATTATACCAGATCTCTGCTGCGCAGGAGCGATCCATATTTTTGAAGAAATTTGTTATCTACAGATGCTAATAAAGAGGCATTTTCTAGCCTGCAAGGAAAGACACTAAAATCTATGCATTCAATGTATGCATTTGTCAGGCTTTGCATTGGAGTGCATGTGACAAATCATGTTCAACCTGTTTGCTGTTGTTAATGTGTTTTGGGGAAACAAAATAATAAAAAATATATTTAACCAACATTGGGAAGGGCAAAGGGATTCTCAATAAACACCATTTCTCAAAAGAGACAAAACTGTGTTTATTCAACATAAACAAATACACTGAGAAGTGTTTTACCAGAGAAATTGTTTCAAGCTATTTGCTTAAAGTGTGAAAAAGCTTTATTAGAGTGAATATGCTTTGTCTTGGATTATGCCTCTTTTGAATTTCAATAAAAGATAAACTCTTGTTAAAAAATACTTGCAGTAAATGTACGTGTTTATCAAAATGCAGATGATAAAATTGCTGGTAAATATAACTTTGTTTAAGATAAACTAATTACTTTTACATATATGCGCTGAAATGAGGCATTCTTTCCATAAGCAGATCCTTTCTCATCTGATACTTCAGAAAGGTCCTTGGCACGCTTTGCAGCTCCATGCTGCATTTCTTGAGTTCCAGAGTTTGAATTCTGTCAGTCTAAAACCATTGAGTCCAGCATGTTCATGGATAAGTCACCCAGGAAAATTAAATATACATAAACAAATTATTCTATCAGCCTCTGCCAATGCCTACTTTCCCCAAACTTATAAATGGTCCAAATTTTCAGTTCTGACCTCAGACATTTCCATTTGCTGATTCCCTGAAATTGTATCTATGGAAAAATCATATGTCAGCCTCTGTTTAAATAAAATCATAAAAATGCTAAAATTATAAATTTTCAAAATGTTGGTTTTGTGGAAACCTGTAGGATCCTTGCTGATGAGCTATACCCTGTTGTCCATGGTTGTTGCAAGGATGGGTACATATGCTGAAAATAGATGAGGAAAATAAGAAGTCTATGAGATTCCATCAGCAGAAGAGAGAACACAGCATGTTATATTCACAATTATGCCTCAGAATATAATATTTCAACATTACAGGCAATGACTTATATACATCTATGTATACACATAAACAGTTTTAAAAACAAATTCAAGGAGAAATGCTGAATGAAACAAATATTCCACTTTTGTCATAATTATATTATTGTACAGATTTTAATAGTATAGCAGGAAAAATTATTGGTCTGCTAAAGAATTTGAGCAAATAATAGATAAGAATATTCTAACTATTATACTGCAAATCAGAAATATAAAGTATGAAATACAGTTTGACATACAACTCAGTACCAATTCTGCAAAATATAATTTTATTCGTCTTGCTATCAAAATAAAATAATGCAAGCATACTCCAAAAATCACTAAGTCTGAAACATAACCCATTCTTTAGAAGATATCTGTTGACTTTATGATTTTACAGACTTTGTTGCACTGTGAAATCTGTGTTCCTTACAGAGAGGAAGAACTGCCATATAAACTGAGACAGATTCTGGCAGAATATCACTTCCTTTATTGTTATAGGGGGTTGTTTTACATAATAATAATGATAAAAAACATTCAAATATGTGTAAGAAGTTAAATACTTACCCTATCCTTCATGTTTAAATGAAACAGTTCTGAAGTGGTACAGTGATAATATCTTTACTGATACCCATTTAATGTTCCATGTACTGGATTTAGCACCTATTATATAAAAATATATATATATATATATATGGCTGTAATATTGACCATTCTATTTAATGTCCCTTGAACGACTACTAACCTTCACTACAGTAAAATTGTCATCAAAGCATAGTTCCTACTGGACTGATGAAATAATGTTACACATCTATCTATCAACCTTTCACTGTTAGCAGCCACTGCAAAAAAAATTACCTGCAAAATTAATTGGTCTTCAAAGCCTGTATGTAGTCCCATTATTTTGGGCATATGAGCATATGGTCTGGTCTAAAAGCACTTGTAGTCAGACCACAAATTTTAAATTATAAGAATGAAGCTGAGAGGGTTACATCATCTCATATAATGCTGTACGTTCTGCCGAGGGCTGTCTGCTCCAAACACCTGGTTTGTGTGTGTAGCTTATCCCCACCTCAGCAAAAAACAGTTCTGAAGCATTTGTAATGTGAGGCAAATGCAAACACATTGTGCTTATCCACTCAGCAAAAGGTCTGCTCTAAAAATGCCACGATAGACTGTTCAGTATTTTCAAGACAGCAGCTGATCACAAATAAATGTAGTAAGAAGTGTATGTTTGGTTTCCAGGATCAGTGGTTTTGGCGAGTCAGAAACAACAGGGTGATGGATGGATACCCCATGCAGATTACATACTTCTGGAGGGGGCTGCCTCCCAGCATTGATGCAGTTTATGAAAACAGTGAGGGGAATTTTGTCTTCTTTAAAGGTAAGAAAGAACAAAAGTAAGATTTTGTGTAACACTTTTGAGTGTAATTATTTCTTGAAACACATCTTGTTTATTTTTACTAATGATTTGTAAATCTTGTTGCAAATTGGTAGCTAAATGAAAAGTATGTATGTTAACGTTTTCTACTTTGGCAATTACATTTTTAATTTATGATTACCCTTCACAGTATTAGGTCATTTGCTCTTACATATTCAATAAAAATTTGAAGGAATAAAGACAGAAATGAAGTGATCTACTATGAAACAATTCTTTTAATGTGTTTTAGGAAGACACAATGAATATACCTCACTGTACTGCATTGTATTTGTTTCATCTAAGACCTGTGATGTTAGGAGTTTCATGTGGGGAAATATCATCTTTTTTTATTGATGTGTATTTAGTGCTTTGAAAGGAGCATAAACTCCACAATATAGGTGATTTAGATTAAATTGTTGCTAACAATTCTTTTCAAATTTCAATCCAGACATCAACTGTTCTTCAATATTAAAGTTCTTGAACATGTACCTTATTTAGTTTTAATGATGAAGTTGTCTTGTAGGTTTAACAAATGCATACGTAGCAACAAAATCTTCAAATTATGTAAAGTACATTTTATAAAATAATAATTTGAGAGAAGAAACTGAATAGATAACAAATATGTGAAAAAATTATTCAGCTATTTAATGTTGTGAATGATTAATTTTTTAACTCAGTACAAAAAAGGTAGATTTTTTTAAAGTTGTTATAGTAAAAAAAATTAATTCATTTCTACAAGTGGAGTCCTTAATGGGGTGTTAGACTATTTCATTCACTACAGAAACAGGATCTTGATAATGTTAAATGAAAAATATTTAATAACATGCAGAAACACTTCATAACAGTACAATGAAGTTTATGTTTTGCTAAAAGTGAAATTGTATTTTTTGTGTGAATCATAAGGAAAATTATATTACATGTAGTGCAGTTTCTATTTCAATACAGCAAATGCTTTTATTTCTGTTGCCATAAAATAAACTTCAAGTCATTAACTCTGGAAAGTTTATATGGTCAGGAATCATGATCAGGGTACCTCCAAATCTCCATCCTACTGCTTGATTTTTAGGTCCGTAAGACATGGAAGGATAAAAATATTATTCTGTAGCTATTCCTTTGTACCACTTCTGCAAAGAGCAAAGTAGCTACCCTGGGCATTTCAGACTTCTGCCTTCATAATGTTGGCATCCATTATCTGAGCCCCAGACAGAAATGATCAAGCTTATTGTTATAACTGCTTCTTTTCCTTCCCAGTGACCTTGAAATATGTTTCATTATTATTTAACTCTTCGCCCACTGCTGACTGGCTCCTGTTATTCTTAGAGGAATAGGTTAATCCTGTAGTTTATGGGTTACATATAATAAGCCACAGAAGGAGGAAGGAACTGCTCTATTTTTTTCTCTGGGAAATTAAATCAAGATTAATTAAAGCAAGCAGGAACAGTAGGATTGTGCTTTTAGGAGTTAGAATTGTGTTTTCCTTTCACGTCATCCACACCTTATGCTATCTGATTTCAGACCAGTTAGTTTTGTGCCTTCTAGCTGATATCATATGATATTTAGATATTTTGCTGTAGGGTTTTTTCCATATTACTTCTTTTCAAAATTCCTTCCATTATTTTTTCCAATTGCATTTGTATTATCCCTTTATTTGCCAAGGTCAAAAGTCTTTATATTTCCTTGTGCAATTTAAAAAAAAAAAAAAATTTGCTTCTCTGCCATGTCTTTATGACTCTTAATATCTAACTTGGTGTTGGTGTTTTTTCTATCAGTGTAATTCATGTTTTTCCACTGCTACAGAATCAAAAATTTCAGCTGTCTTCTGTGTGGGTGTCCTTGAAAATTCCTTTTCCAAGGATCTCAACTGCCTTGTGGAACATGATTACAGAAATCTGTATAAATAGACTGTAGGTAAATGATCATTGTCTTCTTTCTTCTATTCCATCACAAAATTTCCTGAGAAAAGAGTACATCTCCTCCCCTCAGAGGTGCTAGAAATAGAAAAGCTGATTGTTGCTAAGATGATGAGCAAGTAGAACACCTTATCCAGGTAGTGTGCTTTACCAGTCTAAAATTGATCCAAACAAGTAAGTTCTAGAAGGAAATTTAAATCTGAAATCTATCTAGCATACAAATGTGTTAACCAAGCACATACCTAAGCCAATGTCTACATCTGTTATTCAGAGAATAAAATAGAAAAGATCGATTAAATGCCAGCAGAGGACTTGTACTGGTTTAATGTCACTATGTACCCCTCTGACCCACACTGTACTGTCACTGTTCCTGCCCTCCCTTTAGTGCTGACCCATAGTATACTACAAATATACAGGCTAGACATTAGGGAAAAGAAATGCTCACAGAAAGAGTGGATGGGTACTGGAATGGGCTGCCCAGAAGGCGGTTTAGTCACTGTCCCTGGGGTGTTTAATAAAAGACTGCATGTGGCCATGGTTTAGTTGATAAGGTAGTGTTGATCATAGGTCGAACATGATGATCTGATTCTGTGACAAGTTCTTCATCCATGCCAGCTGAGCTCCATGCATGCTAACAGATCATTGACACAGACAACAACACCCCCATGACCTCTTCCCTGCCCATCCTTCATAAAGAGCCAGTAGCCTTCCATTCTAACCTTCCATTTGTAGAAGCCATCCCATCACGTCTCTGTGATGCTGGTAAGATCACAGCCCTGCAGGTGTGCACAAATTTCCAAGCACGTCCCAAGCTCCTGTTGTTATTCTATAATATGTGTGTTTCCATAGAGGCATTTAATTTGAAGCCCCCAGTGAAACCAACTTACTGGCTGGAGTGGCTGGAATTCCTTTGTGCTGTTTCAGGTGCTCTCCTGCTGACCTGTGACCTCTCTCCAGGCTCTGGACATCTCTTGCTGGCACTGGCATCAAACTGGTAGGAGTGGGATGGATTAAGGTTCTCCCTCCACCAGCAAGTTTAGTTAAAATCCCTCTTTACCAGCTTGCCAAGCCTATGACCACGATGCTCTTCCTGTTCCCTGCCAGATGGACTCATCAGCCCCCAGCAGACCAGATCATACGCATAAAGTACAGAGCAACCTGGTGGATAGCTGCTTATAAAAAACAGATGTTTGAATTCTTGTTATTATTCATTATCAGTGTCCATGCTGAATGATAATAAGATGGCATCAGAAAGATACCTTTTTTTTTTTTTTCTTTTAATGAGAAAACATGAATAGTAAAATTCATTCTGTGTACCTTTGGGAATTTATATAGTGCTAAAATTGAAATTGTCAAGCCATCTGTGCTGTTGAATGTTATGGTAAACCAAATGTAGCAATAGAAATGGTGCTGTAAAACTCATACTACCAGTGTCTCCATCATAACATTCTATTGCACTTACCCCGTGGCCTGACAGTTTTATATTGAAAAATAGATTTACCATAGTGTCAGATCATGGAATGAAGAAATGACAGAAACTTGATGTGGGAAATAGAGAACGGGGAAAAAGGAACCATGAATAGTAATTTTAGAATTCTAGAAAAAGAGTAGATACAGGCTTGAAAGACCAAAATTAAGAGGAATGTTGGCTGGAATAAACTAACATTCAGGATTAGATGTTAATTATTTTTAGCTGATTTAAATTACATGGAATGGTTTAAAAATTTGGAAATTCATCTCATCACTCTAACACAGTGATTATATGCCACACACTTCTTGCACTACATATACACCATAATTGCAAATAATATGGACAAAAAACCATGAAGCACAATTATTCAGAATTCAGAATCTATAAAAGGAATAACTAGCTGCTAAAAACTGCATATTTGTTGGCAGTAGTCACTAGCAAGTTAAACAGTCTAAAGAATATATAGAATATTGTAATTTTAAGTGAAGCATAGCAATACAGATGTCCTTTATTTCCAGTACTTTTTTTGGAATGTCATAGATGGATTTTGAGAGACTTGAAATAATTCCATGGTTCACCCTTCTCAGCTGTTTCCCTACAGTGATGATATTTAACAAAGCATTATTTCAAGAAGTAAGATATTTTAGCTTTTTTATCACTTGCTTCACTCTCTGACCTTGCCAATCTGTTTCTTATTATATTAGACCCCACATTAGGGAATAAAAGCAGAGAGATTAAACATTCTGAAATTTCAGACTTCATTAAACATGTGGTGCTTTATTCTTTGTGAAAATAACAAACCTATCAAAGAGATCTTAAAAAAACAACTTTGCAAAATAAACACAGTGGTCGTTTGTGCCCAGGGCACAGGTTTTGACTCCAAAGAAGCATTAATTATCTATAAGAATAAAAAATATGATTAATTTTGTCGTAGTTCTTTCCATTAGGATCACAATTAATGAAGTTTTATTGACTATTAGTGTAAGTGGAATAGGAGCTATATGAAAGCATACTGACTTTAGCACTAATTTGTACTATGTTTAAAATTTCATAAATATGTTAGAAATAAAATTATCTAATTCTCATCACAGTTGGGCACCTTTTGCACTGATTTTCAGCTTTAACTTCTCCTACATTGGGTTTTGATTAACAGAATGTTGATCAGATCAATTCTGTGATCAAGACACCCACTTTCCTCCAGGTGAGAGACAGAAAAAAAAATCCAAAACAAGACCAACAAGGAACCTTCTAAAACCTCCTAAAAAACCCAACCAAACAAAAAACAGAAATTAAATCTGTCAGCCAGATGGGACATTTGGATTTCTTATATACAGTACTTCTCATTAACAATCAACACAGTTATAGCAGACTAAACATGTCTTCTAAAGCAAATGTTAAATAAAATTCCTGCTAGTTAGCATCAGTAGGCTTTGCTTACATATGTTAGAGATCTCAGTGCTCCCCTGTCTCCACAGAATACTGATAAATTTACCTTTTCTCTGTTTTCTTAGAAAGAATTTGCTTCTTAATATGAAATTATGTGAAGAATTCAGTTTCTTATGCCTGTTTCCACATCTACACTTTCCTTTTACTTCAGTATATCTGAATATGCAGAAAGTACATGGCTTAGTGGTGCTGTAATTTACAATGGCTTGTGCATAACCATTGTTTATTTTGGTATGACCTGATCTTGTTGATAGTTAACTTTGCCTCCTTGGGTATGGCTGATAATGATCTATTCATAACATTGCTTTGACTTTTATTCCTTGTGAGGCACAGAGAAAAGTATTGGCATTACATACATCACAGCATATGCCTCTCAATGCTGTGCAACAGCTGTCATTTTGAATGATCTTCTGAAACAGAAATGAGCTGGCCTGGGATCATTCACTGGATGCCATCTGTTGTTCACACCATAAGTACCAACTAGTAAGGTCCAAAATACATGACTTTATCATTGCATTTGAAACTGCCATTAACATCTGAAGCCTTCTGTGTCCAGTCATATGAATTGGCAAAAAATAAACCACATGGGAAGAGGGACAGAGAACGATTGAAGATTCACATCTCTGTCATTATCAAACCCTATAAGTGAATTTTTATAAGGCATCTCAGTATAAGTAAATCTCAGGTTATCAATGACCTTAATCCCAGGTCAAGAGAGTACTCAGCTTTCCACGACTGCTCTTCATAGATCTCTGTGTCTCTTTCATTTCTAGTACTTCAGAGGGCTCTATACATACTCCTTCTTTGAGTCCTTTTCTTTTCCTTCAACTGGCAGGGGAGAGAAAATGGATCTGTTCAGCAAACGGTAGTGTCTGTGCTTCAAAGTGGGTGACAAGCAGCTGTAAAGAAGCTGATAAAAAATTAACCCTGGAAACCCAGCATGGGAGGGATGGAAACTATACCCCCTCTCCTAATTAAAACTCTGATAAAATGAAAACATGCTTTAAATCACCACAGTACAAACAGGGAGATTAAAAAAACCTTTCCTTTAAACAAACATTTAATACCACAGAGGGATAGCTAAAATATAAAACTAACCTCAAAACAGCTCTCTGGATTTTCCCTCTTGATGATTCTGGCATACACCTGATCCAAGGTCTTTGGGGTAATATTACATTTCATTATAAAATATTTATACATCACACAGCCTTAATGTCCTAAATCTGTATAACATCCTGTCTAGCCTTAAAGGTAAGTACAAAAACTAATGTGAACAGCCATGATTTTATCTCTTGTATACTCTTTCCAAAAGCAAAATTTGTTTTAAAACTTTTCCCTTATATTTTAAATATCATTGTCATGAATAGCAATGGATAGACCAAAGTGAAGAATCCAATAAGGCAAATTCTATGTACATGTTCATGGTTCTCATTAGATTTCTTTTGTGATTTAGCTCAAAATGTCCATATATGTCAAAGAGTATCTTCTCCTTCAGTGTCATTATTACTAAAACTAGCAGTGCTTTTTGGAAAAAAGGATGGTAGTGCTTTGAAGAGAGAATAAACACATGGTTCTTTTACAAAGGAACCTATAGTCTGGTCTGAGAAGAGTGTCCTTATGGTCTAGGGGACAGAACACAAAGAGAAGACAGGCATGCAAGCAAGCTCATCAGATGACTACATAAATACAAAAGGCATTCAGATTCTCAGTTTGATGTCTTTAGGCCACCCTAAAAGAAAAGGTGTTTAAATATTAAATTCTATGGTTATTTCTGAAATAATCATATATCCTTCATAAGTAATTTAAGTTCTTGGGAAGAAATACAGAGTAATAAAAGTATTTGGTCTCTATGAAAATTGTCATTTTTATTTTTTTATGTGTTTCTTAACTTATTTTCTTATAAAATTCTGTCTTTCCTCATGAAACGTAAAACTGCTGCATAGTTTTTCTGTAAATGTATTACATTATCAACCACAGAGTCTTTTAAGGTGATTTGGTCACTGTACTTTGGTCACTGCATAGTTGGTATTAAAATATTATGTGGACTTATCTGAAGAAAGGTGCTTTATAAATACAAGATATCCATAAGGCATATTTAATTTTGCATTGTCTACAGTGATGGAACATATTTCATTATATTTGGAAGAACCACTACTATAGACCTTTGGAAGTCTTTCTTATTTCTTAAGAGTGTATTAATATCTCTACTGACAGTACTGATGAATAACACACATATATGTGTGTATATATGTGCTTTTGTACAGGTAACAAGTTCTGGGTTTTCAAGGACACTACTCTCCAGCCAGGTTATCCTCATGATTTGATAACACTTGGAAGTGGAATTCCTTCCCATGGCATTGATTCAGCAATTTGGTGGGAAGATGTTGGAAAAACCTACTTCTTCAAAGGAGATAGGTTGGTATAGGATTTCTGCAAGGGAAAAATGCAGTGGATACCAGCTCTAGTTCTCAAAAGAATGAAATTTATTCCTCCTACATAGATGGCTGTACTGTTTTCATATGTCTTATAACCTAATTTATATTTTTGTGTCTTGGAATATAAGGTATATCCAGTATACTAGGTATAAGTATATCCAGTAGAAAAGTTATGTTTTAGAAGTCAACAGGTGAGTCACAGGCAAATTTAAACTTAAATATTCAAAGTGATGTGTTTGTGTACACTCTTACATCTTTCTTTTTACCCACAATTCTAAACCCCTGAACAGCAGGCAAGGCATGATCCAAATCTTTTAAGGTCAGTGAAAATAACTTTGCTTCTATTTGATAATGAGGTAAAAAAGGCAACTCAGAGCTAAACCTGGGAACTGGAGAAGAATTTGAACATTTTCTTGGAATTACTTCTAAATAAATCTTATAGAGACACATATCTATGATTAATATTAATAAAAAAAAACCTAACACAACCCCCAAACAAAAAGACAAGCACAGAAAAAGACATAAAATCCAAGTGTTTTTCCACTCCTAAAATACTTGTACTACTCGCTTAGTGTCTGTATCTTTATTTACCTGCCAATTAAAAAAAAAAAGGAAAATAATGTTTGTCTGCTTTATAGAGACATCAAGAGAATTCATTAATTTTTGAAATATGAGAATTGTCTGAATTATGGTATGGTATGAATTATAGTATTTTCAGTATGGTACTGTTTGTTGATTGATCTATCGCTGTGCAAAATTTGTGTGCTCAGAGACAAATTATTCCTCATTAATAACTGTAATATTTCTATTAATCTTATTAAAACGATGACTACTTTTGTTGCTGTGTGGTACTTAGTGTTCTCAGACACTAATAGTATTCATGGATCACTTAAGAAATCCATTTAATGCACATCGTGGAATATGTTTAGGACAGTATAGTTTGTAATTTTATAGCAGTACTGTAAAAATCGCACTACAGAATGTTGCAACAAATTTTATGGTTAAAGATATTTTTATTATTTAAAAAAATATAGCTCTCCAACACTCATGGTGAGGAAAGTAGATAGCTAAGTCAAATTTTTGTAATGTTTTAAAACCAGGTATCATTTCAAGCAATCAATTTTCTTAGCAAGTAGAAGATGCCTAAATAATTTGCTTCCTATGGTTGAGTAGATTTTTTTTTAATTCAAAATTTTTCAAGTAATGATTTTCCACCTCCACATACATATTGTAAAAAGATGTACAGTAGGAATCTTTTGTGTCTTTTTCTTCCTTTAGGCTTTATTCAGCAATACCCTTTTATATTACCAGGCAGTTACTTTTATTCAGGACTTTCCTAAAACTCAATTGGTAGTAACAGAAGACAAAAAGAACTAGCAGAGAAGACAGGGGCTGGCAGAAAAGTTGCTACTTAGAGCTAACAAACACAATGAAACACAGCAGGTTATAAATACAATAGAGTATGTTAGAAGAAGATTGAACATGAGCCCTGCAGCGATAATTGAGCCATTACAGGATATTGACCATAGTGGGAATAAACCCTTACAACAGTAAGTTTCTCAATGTACATTGCTTATGACATCAAATATTGGCTATAAAATAAAAAATATAATAAAAATGACCAAGCAAAAAAATAAGCAAACAAGAAAATCCCATTAATGATACAAGTAAGAAGATTTAAAGGTCAAACCATTAAACAGTTATATGTTTAAAACAGCTCATGTATGGAATATTATTGTTGTAATTTCCACACTGACGATAATTCTTCCAAATAATTGTATGAAAACCAAAAAGGGGTAAAAATTGACTATAGAAAACATTAGTCCCTCTGTTATTCCTATCCTACCAGAACTGAGTCATTTGGGACTAGAAAATAAAATGTTTGATGAACTTCTTGACACGTGTCCTTGTTTATGCCTGTCTGGTTCAGCTGGTTTTATGCACTTTTGAGTTTGAATCAATCAGTTTTTTCTTCATAAAACTTAATCATCCAATGGCTCAGGATATCATTAAGTAAATAGGCTTAGATATAGAATATAGTTTAGCAAATATTTTCCAAATTCCCTTTATCTCAATCTATTAAGTGGACTTTGGTTTTTTCCTCTGTTATTTTTCAGTCTTTGAGATACAACAACAAGTTTACATAGGCTGTAAAGCTCAAACCATAATTAGGGAGTTTGCTTGTGAACCATTTGGTATGACAAATAGAATCAAGACTAAGCTTTTCCTTACCCTGTAGACATGTTCATTATTCCAGTACAGATTGTTGAGGTGGTGTCAAGATCAGTCCTTCCCTAATAGGATTCCTCATCAATGATGAAAACACAGAATTTTTGTGATTTCTGAGTTTTGTGGTTTTGAGTATGTCCTCAAAAACTTTTAATGACAAAGTAT